ACTAAATATTTTTAAGCCCCCCCCCCCCCCCCCCCCCCCACATTATATGGCAAGATACAAGATGAAAAAATAAAGGATTGTTTTCTGTTGCATTCAGCCACCGCTCTATTTCTAATTTTAGATTTCACTTTGGCTTGGAAGTAGAGTGATGAGTAACAGCAATTCCTTTTTCACAAACTTGCCACTGCTTAGCAGTAGCAGCACACCCAATACATAAATGAGAAGATATTACTCCCAAAAAAGACAAGACATCCCTACAAGGTTTTAAAGAGAATGATCCAAGAGACTGAGACTATTTCTCTCACCACCTTGTCTTCACCCTTCTTCTATTTTCAGTATCAGAGCTTGAGTGGCTGCATAAAGTACACATCATAAAAATAGTTACTTTATAGTGGCAAGCCACGTCTAAAACTGCTCTGTGTCTGCTTCTACAATAAACACTCAAAGAAAAAGACTCTTTTCTAATAGAGTACTAAAGTAAAATAACTATGGCATTCTGGGCCCTGCAGCTTTCCTTTGGCTCATTATTCAGAACTGGAAGTGTGCAAAAGAGCTCCACAAAGAATACACTAAAAAGGCAGCAGAAACTTTGAACAGAGTTTTTTTGTTTTTTTTTAATAAAGGAGAGAGAGCGCACACGCAAGCAAGCGCACAGCGTTTTGGGCAATATATCTGCCCTTGCAGAACTACAAAAAAGGAAACGCAAACACTTTCCCCTGATTTCAGAAGTGTTCTCAGCCCTGCTGCTGCTCGCAAGCTCAATATTAACAGTGTCAGTGGCTAACGGACCAGACAGCGAAAAAGGTGCTGAAAAGCATTAAAAAAATTCTAACCTTTCAGACCATCATTGTAAGCACCACTTTTAACAAATGATTAAACTATAATACTGTTCAGCCGCACACACGCTCTATGAAGAAACTAAACTCAGCCTTGTTTTCTGGGGCAGTTGACATGCTTTCCATTTCCACAGCAATACAAGACTTTCTATACTCGGTGCAGAAGAACAACGACAGGGCCAAGTGGGACAAGCAGTCAGCCCCCATGTGAAAGATGGCCTTATGTTTCACAGAAAAAAAAAAAAAAAAGAAAGAAAGAAAGAAAAGAAAAGCCAAACCAAAAGCAGCCTCCTCACCCACGCCAGCTCCCTTATGACAGCACCGCGCACGCTGTGATTTCCAATGAAACCAGTTCAGACACAGCACTTCAAACCAGACTCGCTTTTCTTTCTTCCTTCCTTCCTTCCCCCCTTGCCCATTCCCAGGGCCGGGCTCACTCAGGACCCGGCATTTTCCCATCTCCCACCCGCCGCGGTGAAGCAGCCACTTCCCAAAGTCCACTTCCTCTTCCCGACTCCGACCTGAGCAGCTCCCGGCGCCCCTGAGTCTTGCGCAACATCCGCAGCCTCCTCC